AAACGATGTTCAACATTTTTACTTCGCACTTTGACTGAGACCCAGGAAAGATAAGGAAATCAATAATCTGCAGAAATGCAACCTGGCCTCTAAGACGATCTGGTTTAACTCCACTAGATTTTTTCTGGGGATATTTGAAGTCGCTTGGGCACAAACCTGGAACTGTTGACGCGTTGAAATGAAATTTTAAACACTCCTGAAATTACAGCCAACTTATCGGAGAGTCATGGAAAATTAGGAGCGGTTTCGCGCAAAAATTGCATTTTTGGTACTTAAAAGTAAGCAAAAAGTTTTGCATTTACCTTACTAGAAACTCGTTTAGAACATTAACTTTAATTCCTTGTAGAAATCTAAGTCCCGCCAAAGAAAATCCTCATCAGGGCACAAATGAAACTTGAGAAGTGGATTTGGGCAAAGTAATTTTAATCCCATTGAAGTCTCGAGTAAATATCATGAAAATGATGACCGATTTTCGGGATCGTGTTCAGCAATCTTGATCCGGAGCACATTCATTTATGAAACCCGATATACTTTCCCATAGAGACTAATTTATCTTGCCATCCAGGTCATGGACAATGTTGTTGACACAGAAATCCCGTCCGTTTTCCAGCTGGCTGATCGTCTTTGGGGGTGTTTTTAGCCGTTGCTCGATTCGGCAATTCATCAACTTTTCATCAAAATTTCCATGGGTTTTTACCAGGTCTTTTAGCGATGCTTAGCAAAACTGTGCGCTCATTTCCAATGAATGTTTACCGAATAATGCCTATCCAGCACGCTTAACGACTGGAACGCGATTTGGATAAACTTTCGACCCCACACACGTTCAACCAGCATCGATTCTATTAATAGCTGCACGCTTTGAATACCCAATTTTGCAGGAAATTGGTCGTAATTAATCAGGTTTTCCTAATTAGGCGAATTTGCGGGTTTACTAATTGGGTTTTTGCATTGAATCTCCCGAGGAAACTTGGTCAAATTTCAGCTATGGGACAGTTTCAACAGTAGCTTCATTTCCATCTTTATTTTTCCGACTACGTGTAATTGTTATTATTCTATTTTCTGTATATCGTTTGTTTCATTACGTTTCGGCGACACAACAGCGCCATCTCCAGATTTTAAAATTCATACAAAATTTCCGAAGCATGCAAGAACGAATCTCTCAAGAGATTCGTATTAAATGCCGAGAAGTTTTAGTGTGAGGCCTCTTCTCTATTTCTGAAAAAATTGAGGTTGGCCTTTGCTCTAAATTGAAAGTTACGAATTTTTATTGCAGAGCGTGCAATTGTGTGAAATCGTTCATTTTCAGACCAAAATTCCCGAAGAACGCAAAAAAACA